AGGATGATGGGAATTGTAGTCCAACAAAGCTCGGAAGATAACATGTCGGCGACCTTTGCATTAAAGGAAAGCAGGGCTTATAAACGAGCATGACAGAAATAAATCCCACATAAATCTCCGTGGAGATAATATTGGAGACTTGGGTTTGTTTGTTGAACTGCGTGAACTCTATGTAGAACAGGGGTACAGTGGTGCCCCGCAAGACGAATGCCTCGCAAGACGGAAAACTCGCTAGACGAAAGGGTTTTCTGTTTTTTGAGCTGCTTCGCAAGACGAATTTCCCTATGGGCTTGCTTCGCAAGAAGAAAACGTCTTGCAAGTTTGTTTCCTTTTTCTTAACACCGTTAATACAGTTGCGACTTGACTTCGAGGAACAACTCATAGAACGCAGTGTACATAGTAGCCTTTTTTGAGGTTTTTAAAGACTTTGGTGATTTTTGAAGCTTTTCCAAAACTTCTTTTGCAGCCATTTGGTAAGTTAAGCTTTTAAAACTTTTTGGGGGGGTTTTGGATTTTGGGTTGGGGTGTTTGGAATTCAAGGACTTGGTGTTGGGGAGGGGTTTGCAAGAATCTGGAAGCTTGTGTGGTTTTTTTCTGCATTTTTATGATTTTCTGTGACCATTGGGCTGTTTTTTAAAAAAAATTCTGGATTTGAATTTCTGTGTGCTGGGTGGCTGGGGAAACAGTTGTGGAGGGGTTTGCAAGAATCTGGAAGCTTGTGGTTTTTTTTCTGCATTTTTATGATTTTCTGTGACCATTGGGCAACTCTGCTGTTTTTTAAAAATTTCTGGGTTTGAATTTTGAAATGCTCTTTACAGTATGTGTGACTTTAAAGAGCACTTAATAAACTCTTGTTGTACCAAATTTGGCTTTGTTTGGACTTGTGTTGACCATAGGAACGCATTAATTGATTTTCAATGCATTCCTATGGGATTTCGTGCTTCGCAAGACGAAAAATTCGCTAGACGAAAAAATTCGCGGAACGAATTAATTTCGTCTTGCGAGGCACCACTGTATTGTTGGACTACAACTCCCATCATAGCTGGCCACGCTCCGGAAATGATGGGAAATGGGGAGCCAACATTACTTGGAAATTTGCAAGTTAGCTACCCCTGGTGTGGAAGGAAGAACTAAAGGAAGAAAGCTGTTAGCTTGGCTCAGAGCTTTCATAAACTGTAGCACAATAATTTAAAGGCCACTTTGAAGTGGCAGGAACAGAAATAGGGGCATCGTGGAGGAGAAAAACCTTCACAGAACCAAGAATAGCACAAATGCCAGCATGTCTGAGGAATAATAGCATAAGCTCGAAAGCGATGCAACAGGAAATTGAAATAAAGCAGGCAAGACAGGATGTTTGGAGCAGAAGAAATCTAATAGAACGGCTTCCAAACCTGATTTCTCTCAAGGTTCATAATTTTAAAAGATGAAAGCTGAGAGCATCTGGCAGTGCAGAATGAACCAGAAACCATGATGGGATTTTAAAAGGCAAAATATTTCCCCCCTCTTTCATTGCTGCATTGCAAGGAGTTGGACTAGATGATTCTTGGGGTCCTGAAATATACTTGGAGTCCTATAGTGATTTCATGCTCTTTATTGCAGCTTGTAAAATGGTGGTTGAATTGCCCCCCAAACTTTTATATACATTCTTTACACAGTGAGTCCCGTCTGATTCTGATTCCCTCCTGGAGCCTGATTGGTCTTTTCCTGCAGGCCAATCAGTTGTTGCATTCTAGGATCCTACTTGCCTATTGTTCTAGGATCCAAGCTTAGTACATAACAGATCCCTTCCAACTCTGCAATTCTATGATTTCTGAAGGGTGGTCTCTTCCTAAACACGCTTGACATAGGTCCATCCTAAGCACATTTCTGCAAGAAGTAGCAACAGAAAACATAGTGGGACTCCCATCCTGATAACCGTGGTAAGATGGGGGCGGTCGTGTTGCTGCAATTTAGTTGTCGGCAAAATTAAATCACGACGTTCTTCTGTGATATCAGAGCTGATTACAGGTGAAATTCGGAAAATTAGAATATCATGGAAAAGTTCATTTATTTCAGTAATTCAACTTAAAAGGTGAAACTAATATATGAGATAGACTCATGACATGCAAAGCGAGATATGTCAAGCCTTTATTTTTTATAATTGTGATAATCATGGCGTACAGCTGATGAAAACCCCAAATTAACAATCTCAGAAAATTAGAATATTAAACGAAATCAGCAGATAAAGGATTGCAAATAGAGCAATATTGGACTTCTGAGAATTAGAAGCATGCATATGTACTCAGTACTCGGTTTGGGCCCCTTTTGCATCAATTACTGCCTCAATGCGGCGTGGCATGGATGCTATCAGCCTGTGGCACTGCTGAGGTGTTATGGAAGACCAGGAAGCTTCAATAGCAGCCTTCAGCTCTTCTGCGCTGCTCGGTCTCATGTCTCACATCTTTCTCTTGGCTTGGCAATGCCCCATAGATTCTCTATGGGGTTCAGGTCAGGCGAGTTTGCTGGCTAATCAAGCACAGTAATCCCATGGGCATTGAACCACGTTTTGGTACTTTTGGCAGTGTGGGCAGGTGCCAAAGTCCTGCTGGAAAATGAAGTCAGCATCCCCATAAAGCTCGTCTGCGGAAGGAAGCATGAAGTTCTCCAAAATCTCCTGGTAGACGGCTGCGATGACCCTGGACTTAATGAAGCACAGTGGACCAACACCAGCTGATGACATGGCTCCCCAAATCAACACAGACTGTGGAAACTTCACACTGGACTTCATAGAATCATAGAATCATAGAATCATAGAGTTGGAAGAGACCACAAGGGCCATCGAGTCCAACCCCCTGCCAAGCAGGAAACACCATCAGAGCACTCCTAACATATGGTTGTCAAGCCTCTGCTTAAAGACCTCCATAGAAGGAGACTCCACCACACTCCTTGGCAGCAAATTCCACTGTTGAACAGTTCTTACTGTCAGGAAGTTCTTCCTAATGTTTAGGTGGAATCTTCTTTCTTGTAGTTTGGATCCATTGCTCCGTGTCCGCTTCTCTGGAGCAGCAGAAAACAACCTTTCTCCCTCCTCTATGTGACATCCTTTTATATATTTGAACATGGCTATCATATCACCCCTTAACCTCCTCTTCTCCAGGCTAAACATGCCCAGCTCTCTTAGCCGTTCCTCATAAGGCATCGTTTCCAGGCCTTTGACCATTTTGGTTGCCCTCCTCTGGACACGTTCCAGTTTGTCAGTGTCCTTCTTGAACTGTGGTGCCCAGAACTGGACACAGTACTCCAGGTGAGGTCTGACCAGAGCAGAATACAGTGGCACTATTACTTCCCTTGATCTAGATGCTATACTCCTATTGATGCAGCCCAGAATTTCATTGGCTTTTTTAGCTGCCGCGTCACACTGTTGGCTCATGTCAAGTTTGTGGTCAACCAAGACTCCTAGATCCTTTTCACATGTACTGCTCTCAAGCCAGGTGTCGCCCATCTTGTATTTGTGCCTCTCATTTTTTTGCCCAAGTGCAATACTTTACATTTCTCCCTGTTAAAATTCATCTTGTTTGTTTTGGCCCAGTTCTCTAATCTGTCAAGGTCGTTTTGAAGTGTGATCCTGTCCTCTGGGGTGTTAGCCACCCCTCCCAGTTTGGTGTCATCTGCAAATTTGATCAGGATGCCCTTGAGTCCATCATCCAAGTCGTTGATAAAGATGTTGAATAAGACCGGGCCCAAGACAGAACCCTGTGGCACCCCACTAGTCACTCTTCTCCAGGATGAAGAGGAACCATTGATGAGCACCCTTTGGGTTCGGTCAGTCAGCCAGTTACAAATCCACTGAGTGGTAGCATAGTCAAGACCACATTTTACCAGCTTCTTTACAAGAATATTATGAGGCACCTTGTCAAATGCCTTGCTGAAATCAAGGTAGGCTACATCCACTGCGTTCCCTTCATCTACCAGGCTTGTAATTCTGTCAAAAACGAGATCAGGTTAGTCTGACATGACTTATTTTTCAGAAATCCATGCTGACTATTGGTGATCACAGCATTCCTTTCTAGGTGCTCACAGACTGTTTGCTTAATGATCTGCTCCAGAATCTTCCCTGGTATTGATGTCAGACTGACTGGGCGGTAATTATTTGGGTCCTCTCTTTTCCCCTTTTCAAAATAGGGACAACATTTGCCCTCCTCCAGTCTGCCGGGACTTCGCCTGTTCTCCAGGAATTCTCAAAGATGACTGCCAGTGGTTCTGAGATCACATCTGCCAGTTCTTTTAATACTCTTGGATGCAGTTCATCTGGCCCTGGAGACTTGAATACATCTAAACTAGCCAAGTATTCTTGTACTATCTCCTTAGTTATTCTGGGCTGTGTTTCCTTTGCTGAATCATTTGCTCCAAATTCTTCAGGTCGGGCATTGTTTTCTTTATCGGAGAAGACTGAGGCAAAGAAGGCATTGAGGAGTTCAGCCCTTTCTGTGTCCCCTGTTTGCATTTCACCATCTTCTCCTCTGAGTGACCCCACTGTTTCTTTGTTCTTCCTTTTGCTACGAACATACCCATAAAAGCCGTTTTGTTGCTTTTAACCTCTCTAGCAAGCCTGAGTTCATTCTGTGCTTTAGCTTTTCTGACTTTGTGTCTACACGTGCTGGCTATTTGTTTGAATTCCTCTTTGGTGGTTTCCCCCCTTTTCCATTTCTTGTACACATCCTTTTTTAATCTTAACTCAGTTAAAAGTTCTTTAGATAGCCGCCCTGGCTTCTTTAGGCACCTTCCATGTTTCTGTCTCATTGGTATTGCCTGACATTGTGCTTTAGTATCTCCCTCTTAACAAACTCCCAGCCATCATGAACTCCCTTTCCTTTTAGTATTACTGTCCATGGGATCTCACCCAGCACTTCCCTAAGTTTTATGAAGTCAGCTTTCTTAAAGTCAAGAAATTGAGTCCTAGTATGCTTGGCTGCTCCTTTCCGCTGTATAGTAAACTTCAGAATCATAGAATCATAGAATCATAGAATCATAGAATCATAGAGTTGGAAGAGACCACAAGGGCCATCGAGTCCAACCCCCTGCCAAGCAGGAAACACCATCAGAGCACTCCTGACATATGGTTGTCAAGCCTCTGCTTAAAGACCTCCAAAGAAGGAGACTCCACCACACTCCTTGGCAGCAAATTCCACTGTCGAACAGCTCTTACTGTCAGGAAGTTCTTCCTAATGTTTAGGTGGAATCTTCTTTCTTGTAGTTTGGATCCATTGCTCCGTGTCCGCTTCTCTGGAGCAGCAGAAAACAACCTTTCTCCCTCCTCTATGTGACATCCTTTTATATATTTGAACATGGCTATCATATCACCCCTTAACCTCCTCTTCTCCAGGCTAAACATGCCCAGCTCTCTTAGCCGTTCCTCATAAGGCATCGTTTCCAGGCCTTTGACCATTTTGGTTGCCCTCCTCTGGACACGTTCCAGTTTGTCAATGTCCTTCTTGAAGTGTGGTGCCCAGAACTGGACACAGTACTCCAGGTGAGGTCTGACCAGAGCAGAATACAGTGGCACTATTACTTCCCTTGATCTAGATGCTATACTCCTATTGATGCAGCCCAGAATTGCATTGGCTTTTTTAGCTGCCGCGTCACACTGTTGGCTCATGTGAAGTTTGTGGTCAACCAAGACTCCTAGATCCTTTTCACATGTACTGCTCTCAAGCCAGGTGTCCCCCATCTTGTATTTGTGCCTCTCATTTTTTTTGCCCAAGTGCAATACTTTACATTTCTCCCTGTTAAAATTCATCTTGTTTGTTTTGGCCCAGTTCTCTAATCTGTCAAGGTCGTTTTGAAGTGTGATCCTGTCCTCTGGGGTGTTAGCCACCCCTCCCAATTTGGTGTCATCTGCAAATTTGATCAGGATGCCCTTGAGTCCATCACCCAAGTCGTTGATAAAGATGTTGAATAAGACCGGGCCCAAGACAGAACCCTGTGGCACCCCACTAGTCACTCTTCTCCAGGATGAAGAGGAACCATTGATGAGCACCCTTTGGGTTCGGTCAGTCAGCCAGTTACAAATCCACTGAGTGGTAGCATAGTCAAGACCACATTTTACCAGCTTCTTTACAAGAATATCATGAGGCACCTTGTCAAATGCCTTGCTGAAATCAAGGTAGGCTACATCCACTGCGTTCCCTTCATCCACCAGGCTTGTAATTCTGTCAAAAACGAGATCAGGTTAGTCTGACATGACTTATTTTTCAGAAATCCATGCTGACTATTGGTGATCACAGCATTCCTTTCTAGGTGCTCACAGACTGTTTGCTTAATGATCTGCTCCAGAATCTTCCCTGGTATTGATGTCAGACTGACTGGGCGGTAATTATTTGGGTCCTCTCTTTTCCCTTTTTGAAAATAGGGACAACATTTGCCCTCCTCCAGTCTGCCGGGACTTCGCCTGTTCTCCAGGAATTCTCAAAGATGACTGCCAGTGGTTCTGAGATCACATCTGCCAGTTCTTTTAATACTCTTGGATGCAGTTCATCTGGCCCTGGAGACTTGAATACATCTAAACTAGCCAAGTATTCTTGTACTATCTCCTTAGTTATTCTGGGCTGTGTTTCCTTTGCTGAATCATTTGCTCCAAATTCTTCAGGTCGGGCATTGTTTTCTTTATCGGAGAAGACTGAGGCAAAGAAGGCATTGAGGAGTTCAGCTCTTTCTGTGTCCCCTGTTTGCATTTCACCATCTTCTCCTCTGAGTGACCCCACTGTTTCTTTGTTCTTCCTTTTGCTACGGACATACCCATAAAAGCCTTTTTTGTTGCTTTTAACCTCTCTAGCAAGCCTGAGTTCATTCTGTGCTTTAGCTTTTCTGACTTTGTGTCTACACGTGCTGGCTATTTGTTTGAATTCCTCTTTGGTGGTTTCCCCCCTTTTCCATTTTTTGTACACATCCTTTTTTAATCTTAACTCAGTTAAAAGTTCTTTAGATAGCCACCCTGGCTTCTTTAGGCACCTTCCATGTTTCCGTCTCATTGGTATTGCCTGACGTTGTGCTTTTAGTATCTCCCTCTTAACAAACTCCCAGCCATCATGAACTCCCTTTCCTTTTAGTATTACTGTCCATGGGATCTCACCCAGCACTTCCCTAAGTTTTATGAAGTCAGCTTTCTTAAAGTCAAGAAATTGAGTCCTAGTATGCTTGGCTGCTCCTTTCCGCTGTATAGTAAACTTCAGAAGAGCATGATCACTTGCGCCTAATGATCCTTCCACTTCTACCCCACTAACCAGGTCATCAACATTGGTTAGGACCAGATCTAAAATGGCTGTTCCTCTTGTTGCTTCTCCCACTTTCTGGACAATGAAGTTGTCTGCAAGGCCAGTGAGGAATCTGTTTGACCTTATGCTCTTGGCTGAGTTTGACATCCAACAAATATCCGGGTAATTGAAGTCCCCCATTACTACTATCTCCCTTCCTTTTGCATGCTTGGCCATCTGTTCCAGGAAGGCATCATCTATGTCCTCCGTTTGGCTTGGGGATCTATAGTAAACTCCCACAATGAGGTCACTGTTATTCTTCTCTCCTTAATTTTGACCCAAATGCTCTCACTTTGGCTTTGAGGTTCTAAATCTTGGATCTCTTCACAGGTATACACATCCCTGACATATAACGCCACTCCTCCTCCTTTCTTGTCTGGTCTGTTTCTCTGAAATAGATTGTATCCCCCATTATTACATTCCAATCGTGGGACTTATCCCACCAGGTTTCAGTGATGCCTATTATGTCATATTTAGTTTGCTGTACCAAGAGCTCAAGCTCATCTTGTTTATTTCCCATGCTTTGCGCATTAGTGTACAGACATTGAAGTCCATTAATCATTTCCCCGTGACTCTTATTTAAGGATTTTTTCCTCCCACCACTAGGTCTGTGTGCTGTTTGCTCCATTTGGTCTATGACATTTGGATGATCATCTTCATCAATTGATAGACTCCTACCTTCAGGAGCACTATCTCCCTCCCCCACATTAGTCAGTTTAAAGCCCTCCTGATGAGGTTTCTGAGATTTTTGGCAAAAACATTTCTCCCAACCGTTGTGAGGTGCAGCCCATCGCTTGCCAGAAGTCCATCTTCAAGAAACTGCAGTCCGTGATCTAAGAATCCAAACCGTTCCTGTTTACACCATTTGCGAAGCCAGCTGTTCACTTCCACTATTTTCCCCCTCTCCCTGGGCCACGTCGTTCAACTGGGAGGACAGATGAGATCACAATTTGTGCATTTAATTGCTTCAATTTCCTGCCCAGAGCCTCGTAGTCTCTTTTGATCTTCTGGAGGCTATTGCTTGCAGTGTCATTGGTTCCCACGTGAACCAAGAGGAAGGGGTATTTGTCAGTGGGTTTTATGATTCCTTGCAGTCGTTCAGTTACATCTTGGATCTTAGCCCCCGGGGAGACAGCACACTTCCCGAGACATCTTGTCAGGCCCACAGATCACTGCTTCTGTTCCCTCAGTAGGGAATCCCCTATCACCACTACACGCCTCCTCTTAGGTTTGGCCGGGGTTCTTCTGTGAGCTGTCCGCTCCAAGGTCGCCTGCACATTCCCTGAGGACTGACTTTGCTGCTCGTCTTCATATACCTGATCGACTGTAATGAGGGAGAGATCCTCAAATGGAGTCTGCTCTTCGTCTTCCATGCTAGGGGAGAGGACCTCAAAGCGATTGTGTATTTCTAAACAATCAGAGCGAACCCTGGGCCTCCTACTTCTTTGAGTCACGTTTCTCCATATATCTGGCTCCTGTGTTGGTGAACTAGCGTCCTTCTCAGGGGAGTCCCCTGTCTCCTCCTTGGTGGAGACGGTGTGCTCTGTTGCTTCCAAGAAGAGCTCCAGCTCTCTAATTCTTTGGAGCGTAGCTACACGTTCCTCCAGTTGCTGGACTTTGTCTTTTAAGAGGGCAATCAACATGCAATTGCTGCAGGTAAAGCTGCCTGCAACCTTTGGCAAGATGGCAAGCATTGCGCAGGAACCGCAGGCGACTGCAGCTGTTCCCTCAACCTCCATCTTGATAACGTGACGTTGGGTGTGTCTAAATTGGTCCTCCATCATAAAAAGCGTGAAGACAGGAAAAATAACTCCCCCCACAAAAAAAACCTAGGTCTTCCCCAACAAACGTTTCAGACTAGCTCCCCTAAATCTAAAAGATGGATAAAACTGCGCGCGCCACTAGGCGCGCGCCGCTGCCCTGCAAGCTCTGATAAGCTCCTCCCACAGCTAATCACCTGCCTCAACAGAAACCCTGCCCCCTCTGACCTTGCACAGGGAGAGCAGCCAATCAGTCACAAAGAAACACACACACACAAGAAAACCCTTTTTGCTCCTTCTTCAACTGCTGCCCTGCAATCTCTGATAAGCTCCTCCCACAGCTAATCACCTGCCTCAACAGAAACCCGGCCCCCTCTGACCTTTGCACAGGGAGAGCAGCCAATCAGTCACAAAGAAACACACACACACAAGAAAACCCTTTTTGCTCCTTCTTCAACTGCTGCCCTGCAATCTCTGATAAGCTCCTCCCACAGCTAATCACCTGCCTCAACAGAAACCCTGCCCCCTCTGACCTTTGCACAGGGAGAGCAGCCAATCAGCCACAAAGAAACACACACACACAAGAAAACCCTTTTTGCTCCTTCTTCAACTGCTGCCCTGCAGAAGAGCATGATCACTCGCGCCTAATGATCCTTCCACTTCTACCCCACTAACCAGGTCATCAACATTGGTTAGGACCAGATCTAAAATGGCTGTTCCTCTTGTTGCTTCTCCCACTTTCTGGACAATGAAGTTGTCTGCAAGGCCAGTGAGGAATCTGTTTGACCTTATGCTCTTGGCTGAGTTTGACATCCAACAAATATCCAGGTAATTGAAGTCCCCCATTACTACTATCTCCCTTCCTTTTGCATGCTTGGCCATCTGTTCCAGGAAGGCATCATCTATGTCCTCCGTTTGGCTTGGGGATCTATAGTAAACTCCCACAATGAGGTCACTGTTATTCTTCTCTCCCTTAATTTTGACCCAAATGCTCTCACTTTGGCTTTGAGGTTCTAAATCTTGGATCTCTTCACAGGTATACACATCCCTGACATATAACGCCACTCCTCCTCCTTTCTTGTCTGGTCTGTTTCTCTGAAATAGATTGTATCCCCCCATTATTACATTCCATTCGTGGGACTTATCCCACCAGGTTTCAGTGATGCCTACTTCAAGCATCTGGCATTGTGTGCCTCCCCATTCTTCCTCCAGACTCTGGGTCCTTGGTTTCCAAATGAGATGCAAAAGCTGCTCTCATCAGAAAATAGATTTGTCAAGAGACAGATGAGAGACATGAGACCGAGCAATGCAGAAGAACTTTTCCACGATATTCTAATTTGCTGAGTTTCACCTGTATGGCCAAATGCTGACATCTGAAAATAGTCCCGTGTTTAAAAGGTGATAAAACAAATGGCCTGAACGTTCTCCCCTGCTGAGATAGCAGCAATACTGAAAACAGACCTGGCCTTCCTAGTGTAGTTGCGGCTTCCTTGTTGTTTAGCTTAGTCCTTCCCTTTCCTTGCCAAACAAAATGATTTCTCCCTCTCCCCCTGCATGAGAGCTTTGAACCTTTGTCACACCACAGAGCTCCCTTCACAAATTTGAGACGGAGTGATTTTTGGCCATAGTGATCAGGTCCAAAGATGTTTTTTTAAGAAGCGGTTGGATAATCGCCTCTTGAAGAGGGCCTGGGAAGACTCCCTCACAGAGGGAAGCGTTCACCACCCTGCAGAGCCCATTACCCAGCCCTTCCTGGCTCGCTTATGACCCAGGATGGGCAAGGAGACAGGTTTCGCTCATCCAAGCAGCCTGTCCACATCCTCGGAGGTAACTGTATGAATCTTTGCTCTTCACAAAAACACCTCAAGGCCAAAGGACCAAACCATGTGAGATACCACAAATCCATGGCTGTCTCTTCCACAAATAAAAATTACACTGGGCTGCATTGCGACTCATGGGGGGCAGTTTAACCCTTTCACCCCATTGCATTTTTCCAGTGAAGGTTGCTGCCCAAACAGCTACTATTTGCCTTGTTAAGGACTGTGCATTCAGAATGGTATGCAAACACTTTCTCTAAAAATAGCAGGGGGGGGGGGGCAGAAAGAAAATTGTGTGGCAGCAAGCTCTTCCCCCAATGTTCTGTTCCTGATCCAAATCGCTCCTGCTCTGCACTTGCTAAATCTAAGAGATGGGAATTTCAGTCTGTGACCGGTGAGCCTCTGTTAATTCCCTGTCTTAGCATCTCTTGCAGAAGTGGCTGCTTATTACATGGAAAATGCCTTAATAACTGTTGGAAAAGCAGCTTTGTGATTCCTTTAAACAAGGTACAGTGGTACCTTGGGTTAAGTACTTAATTCGTTCCGGAGGTCCGTTCTTAACCTGAAACTGTTCTTAATCTGAAGCACCACTTTAGCTAATGGGGCCTCCCGCTGCTGCTGCTGCGCCACTGGAGCACGATTTCTGTTCTTATCCTGAAGCAAAGTTCTTAACCTGAAACACTATTTCTGGGTTAGCGGAGTCTGTAACCTGAAGCGTATGTAACCTGAAGTGTATGTAACCCAAGGTACCACTGTATTTGTCTTTTTCCTCCCATTTAAGACCACTGAGGAGACAGATTGGTGTATGGGATGCAGCCAAGGCTTCTGCAATATGGATTATTTATACAGTGGTACCTCTGGTTATGGTCTGGAGGAGACTCTTGAGAGTCCCATGGACTGCAAGAAGATCAAACCTATCCATTCTGAAGGAAATCAGCCCTGAGTGCTCCCTGGAAGGACAGATCCTGAAGCTGAGGCTCCAATACTTTGGCCACCTCATGAGAAGAGAAGACTCCCTGGAAAGACCCTGATGTTGGGAAAGATGGAGGGCACAAGGAGAAGGGGACGACAGGGGACGAGATGGTTGGACAGTGTTCTCGAAGCTACCAGCATGAGTTTGACTAAACTGCGGGAGGCACTAGAAGACAAAAGTGCCTGGCATGCTCTGGTCCACGGGGTCACAAAGAGTCGGACACGACTAAATGACTAAACAACAACAACAACAACCTCTGGTTACGAACTTAATTCGTTCCGGAGGTTTGTTCTTAAGCTGAAACCATTCTTATCCTGAGGCGCGCTTTCACTAATGGGGCCTCCCGCTGCGCATGTGCCTGTGGTGCGCAATTTCTGTTCGCATCTTGGGGCAAAGTTTGCAACCAGGAGCAGCTACGTCCGGGTTAGCAGAGTTCATAACCTGAAGCTTTTCTAACCAGAGCGTTCGTAACCAGAGGTACCACTGTATTGAAATTATCCTCTCTGAACACTTTTAGTATTGGTTATATAAAGATCAGCATGGAAACAGCACCACCTGCAGGAAGGAAGGCAGCAGGTTTGGCTCCTCTGTGACTCAGTTTGTTGCTAGACAAGGGCAGCAGTTAAGGCTGGGATTTTGGAAGGCTGAGAGGGAGCATTTGGAATAGGGCCCAGTCTTTCTGTTGAAATCTAAGATGAATGTAAAAGCCTGATCCCTCCACCCCACCCTAGCTAAGAATTCTCAAAACTTATACAAAAATTGTCCAGTAGCACCTTAGAGAGGAAGGACGCGGGTGGCGCTGTGGGTTAAACCACAGAGCCTAGGACTTGCTGATCGGAAGGTCGGCGGTTCAAATCCCCGCAAAGGGGTGAGCTCCCGTTGCTCGTTCCCTGCTCCTGCCAACCTAGCACTTCGAAAGCACACAAAAAAGTGCAAGTAGATAAATAGGTACCGCTCCGGCGGGAAGGTAAATGGAATTTCCGTGCACTGCTCTGGTTTCGCCAGAAGCGGCTTAGTCATGCTGGCCACATGACCCGGAAGCTGTACGCCGGCTCCCTCGGCCAATAAAGCGAGATGAGCGCTGCAACCCCAGAGTCATCTGCGACTGGACCTAATGGTCAGGGGTCCCTTTACCTTTACCTTTAGCACCTTAGAGACCAACTAAGTTTGTTCTTGGTACAAACTTAGTTGGTCTCTAAGGTGCTACTGGACAATTTTCTTATATATTTTGACTGCGTCAGACCAACACAGCTACCTACCTGAATCAATTCTCAAAACTCCTCAGGATGCTTATTCCAAATGGATTTTGAGAGTCCATCATGCAAGGTTCAGAGAACTCCTAGAAGCATGCTAAATGGGGGGGGCTATTATTATTATTATTATTATTATTATTATTACCCCACCTTTTCCCCTGACCAGGACTCAAGGTGACTTACAGCTAAAAATAAGGACAGAACAATTTCATTTTAAAAAACCCCAAGCCAGCCACGAAGAATCGTTCAGGTGGCCAAACGCAGCAAGCCACCCCAGTTTGTTTTGTCCATTTGTTGTTTATTTAAAAGGCACAGTGACCTGAACAATTCTATCTTTGATTATTGATTCTAAGATACATGCATTGCACAGTGGTGCTGTCCATTTCAATACACCGTTCAAATTAGGGCTCTGGTTTTACTTTGGTAAGCAGGTATATCATATCCCTGCTATGATATACACAAAAGTAAAAATACACTAAATATAAACAACTGTCTCTGGTATCTAACAGGTCTTCAGGCCTCCAAGGTCCTGTGTCCAAATGTCCATAGCTGGTATCCTGTGTTGCTTGAAGAACTAGAACCAGAAAGAAAGAAAAAATAAAATAAATATATCTAGGGTGCATTTCAGGGATGGATACTTTCAGAAGCTAAAACAATAACTTTCATAATGGGAATAAATGCAGAGCTCCATGCAGGAAAGAGAGGGAGTTCTTCTTCACCTATTACATAATTAACTTACGGAACCCACTGCCACAAGATGTGACATCACTGGCATAGAGGGCTTCAATACAATATTCAACAAATTCGTGCTAACTAAATAGAGCCAGGGATTGATGAATCCATCTCCTTCTGTGTTTAGCATGTGGAATAGACCAGCAAGGGATGTTGAATAGCATGTGGAATGAACCAGCAAGGTAAATAGAGGTAAAGGTAAATAAAGGGACCCCTGACCATTAGGTCCAGTCGTGGCCGACTCTGGGGTTGCGGAGCTCATCTCGCTTTATTGGCCGAGGGAGCCGGCGTACAGCTTCCGGGTCATGTGGCCAGCATGACTAAGCTGCTTCTGGCGAACCAGAGCAGTGCACGGAAACGCCGTTTACCTTCCCGCCGGAGCGGTACCTATTTATCTACTTGCACTTTGACATGCTTTCAAACTGCTAGGTTGGCAGGAGCAGGGACCGAGCAGCGGGAGCTCACCCCGTCACGGGATTCGAACCGCTGACCTTCCGATCGGCAAGTCCTAGGCTCTGTGGTTTAACCCACAGCGCCACCCGCGTCCCATAAGGCACACATGCTTAAATATAAAAGAATCTGCTTGCTGTATCTCCTCACAATCAAACCCAAAGACTGAAGTGTCAAGAACTGCTGAGATTTCTTTTGACCCAGCAATAGTTTAAATGATTTTAGTACAGCTGGATCATTTCCAGATAAGAAATCTTCATACCTTCTGTGAACGTTTCACTACAAAATGCTCCTATGCAAGTTTCACTTGGGAGCAGAGATGGATAGATTTGTCCAACCCTGTTTCTTTCTGTTCCTAATTTTTCCAGCCTTAAGTGCCATATTTTGCATGTTACTTTCACTGATATGTTCATTTTTAGATGCAGTTTCACAGATTTTTTCCCCCACATGTTATTGTTTGGAGAACTGCATTGCAAAATTTGGAGACGTGCGGATTTCAAAGGCTAGCTGCATTTCAGTTCGTATAGGGCGAACTGGGCTGTGTGTGGTGATTTGAAGCTCTGACTTCGGGACTTCAAAACACCCAGTCACATTATTGTGGTGCCAGATGACTGACAGGTGGATAGCCTTGCCCAACCTGCAGAGCCAAAAAAGGGTTTCCCACCCATGATCTACAATATCACAACTGTTTTACCACTTCTAGAATTCTTTATATAATTTAGGATTGGCACAGAGAGAAAGCAGGGATATTGTGTCTTTAAACAGGCAGAAATTTGACACATTAGCCTTTTTCTCATATGGAAATAATTCTAGAAAAAGCTTCACCAGGTAGCACACTGTCTGTCTGATGTTTTATTACTTGGATGTGGCCACTGATTAGTTGGGGGTGGGGCAGGGCCGGATTTAGGTTTGATGAGGCCCTAAGTTTGCTGATCAGAAGGTCAGTGGTTCGAATCCTTCAACGGGATGAGCTCCTGTTGCTTGGTCCCAGCTCCTGCCCACCTAGCAGTTTGAAAGCACCTCAAAGTGCAAGTAGATAAATAGGTACCGCTCCGGCGAGAAGGTAAATGGAATTTCTGTGTGCTGCTCTGGTTCACCAGAAGTGGCTTAGTCATGCTGGCCGCATGACCTGGAAGCTGTCTGTGGACAAACGCCGGCTCCCTCGGCCTATAGAGCGAGATGAGTGCGCAACCCCAGAGTCATCCGCGACTGGACCTAACGGTCAGGGGACCCTTTACATTTACCTTTAATCTACTGATGGTAATGGGGCCCTTTATATGTCCAGCTGTCCTTTGTCAACAACAAATTGCTGCTGTTTTTTGTGTTGAATATATGCTATATGGTAATTTATGGACCTAATAGGTATCTAAAGCCATTTTACTTGTTTTTTTATCTTATATATTGAAAATATACATCCAGTTTTTTCCCTTTAAAAAAATTTTTGGGGGCCCCCAAGAGAGTGGGGCCCTAAGCTATAGCTTGTTTAGCTTATATAGTACATAAATACAGGATTGGGTGGGTGGGAGTGGGTAGCCCTTCACCCTGCTTGCAAAAGAGGACACAAATTTGCACAAGACACAAAGAACATGAGAATTTCATGCAAGTGTGTGCCCTCTTTTGTAAGTAGAGCCGACAGCCAAATCCACACACCATGGACTGGACCCCCACCTTCAATTACTGTTGCCAACGGCACCCCTGATACCACAGGGTCCAATTTAGAACATACCATAATAACTATTGCTGTACACTTTCAAGGCGCTGTGTTGACTGCTATTGGTGTTTGAGAGGGCATCCGGTGACAGAAATTGGTTACAGGCTTGACTGCTGAGCAGAAAGATGACACAGGGTTCCGATTCTTCCAGTTCAGCTTCTTCAAGAAAATATTGTAGTTGTCCATGTATTCAGATACCCAGGGGTTCCTGTATTGGGGGGAGGGAGGAGAGAGAAAGAGCGAGGGAGAGTCATGGCAGGATAAAATGGAGAATCCGGGGTGGGTGGGTATACTAGAGTGACTAGTGGGGTGCCACAGGGTTCTGTCTTGGGCCCGGTCTTATTCAACATCTTTATCAACGACTTGGATGATGGACTCAAGGGCATCCTGATCAAATTTGCAGATGACACCAAACTGGGAGGGGTGGCTAACACCCCAGAGGACAGGATCACACTTCAAAACGACCTTGACAGATTAGAGAACTGGGCCAAAACAAACAAGATGAATTTTAACAGGGAGAAATGTAAAGTATTGCACTTGGGCAAAAAAATGAGAGGCACAAATACAAGATGGGGACACCTGGCTTGAGAGCAGTACATGTGAAAAGGATCTAGGAGTCTTGGTTGACCACAAACTTGACATGAGCCAACAGTGTGACGCGGCAGCTAAAAAAGCCAATGCAATTCTGGGCTGCATCAATAGGAGTATAGCATCTAGATCAAGGGAAGTAATAGTGCCACTGTATTCTGCTCTGGTCAGACCTCACCTGGAGTACTGTGTCCAGTTCTGGGCACCACAGTTCAAGAAGGACACTGACAAACTGGAACGTGTCCAGAGGAGGGCAACCAAAATGGTCAAAGGCCTGGAAACGATGCCTTATGAGGAACGGCTAAGGGAGCTGGGCATGTTTAGCCTGGAGAAGAGGAGGTTAAGGGGTGATATGATAGCCATGTTCAAATATATAAAAGGATGTCACATAGAGGAGGGAGAAAGGTTGTTTTCTGCTGCTCCAGAGAAGCGGACACGGAGCAATGGATCCAAACTACAAGAAAGAAGATTCCACCTAAACATTAGGAAGAACTTCCTGACAGTAAGAGCTGTTCGACAGTGGAATTTGCTGCCAAGGAGTGTGGTGGAGTCTCCTTCTTTGGAGGCCTTTAAGCAGAGGCTTGACAACCATACGTCAGGAGTGCTCTGATGGTGTTTCCTGCTTGGCAGGGGGTTGGACTCGATGGCCCTTGTGGTCTCTTCCAACTCTATGATTCTATGATTCTAACTTTAGAAGCCATGTGGCTAAGTCAGATAACTTTGTAGCCTTCTGCTCAGTTGCACTGTTGCTCATGGGAATCCCATTGCATGAAGAAAATGGCTCCAGCACCAGTAACTTCTGGAAGTGGGCTATTTAATTTCTGCAGCGCAGCCTTTTGGTGGAGTTTAAAGGCTAAATTGATGGACTAGTTCAGACGGATTCTGGCAACACGGTGCTGAGAACGCCTCTTTCAGAAATACGGAGTAAGCCATGGGTAGGCAACATAGATGCCAATCTTTCCCTTTTTTAAAGGGAAATTCCCTTAAATTCCTCACAAGAAAAGGGAAAGGTTGAGAGCTATGGTAGGCAAACTAAGGCCCGGGGGCCGGATCCGGCCCAATCGCCTTCTAAATCTGGCCCACGGACAGTCCAGGAATCAGCGTGATTTTACATGAGTAGAATGTGTCCTTTTATTTAAAATGCATCTCTGGGTTATTTGTGGGGCATAGGAATCCGTTCATTTTTTCTTTTTTCAAAATATAGTCCAACCCCCCACAAGGTCTGAGGGACAGTGGACCGGCCCCCTGATGATAAAGTTTGCTGACCCCTGGTGTAAGCCCTTGTGGGTGCAATGATTTGAGCTTGGAAGGACAAACACCCACCATTCATTACGGTTTGAAGAATTTACTGCATTGTAAAGGACAGTGGTACCTTGGTTCTCGAACGTAATCCATTCCGGAAGGCCGTTTGACTTCCGAAACGTTCGAAAACCGAGGCCCAAAGGGCTGGTTGCAAGTTCCATTGAGAAAACTGATAAACATCCAGCAGAATCCGTTCAACTTCTGAGGCGCGTTTGAAAACGGAAGCATTTACTTCCAGGTTTTCGGCAAAACATTTGGCTTCCGAGACGCTCGAAAACTGAGGTACCACTGTACATCTTATAATTGTCCATCTCCTTTGGATATCCTTTTGGACACGCAAACCGCCAACAAAAGATACCTTGCATTGAACGGATCCTGAGACCCGTAATGTAATGTATGTGTGTAAATGTTACTGTTCTGTTGCTTCCCTTAGTCCCCCCGCCCCCAATAAAGTATTTGCAAAGACTCTTACTCAGTGTAGTAGCCATCGTCAAAGACAAGATTGGAGAAATTCCTATTTGCGCTACAAAATCCACTTCGGAGTCTGGGCCAGGGTACGTAATCTCTTTGGTAAGTACTTGGTTCGGTCCTGGGATAAACTTCTATGAAAAGAGAGAATATTCAGCCACCAAGTAGAGTTGGCATAGTTTGTATGTCTTCTGCTGTCATTGAGAGTACTATACATCATCTTGTATTTCTTTGGGAATATTTACCAAAATATCCTCAAGCGAGTTGTGTGTGTTTAATTTAACTCAACTGACCTGGCTGAAACACAGTAGATCCCACATGTGATTTCTTAATTTCACGAAGTTGCATTTGAGTAGCTCGCTGCGTTTCCAAGAGAAACTGTTGATAGTCGCTCCAATTCTGGCCCTGTTCTGGGCAGACGCAAGGAGATGGTACTTGATCTGGGGAAGGGGCAAGTCCACATTTGTAAGACAGGAACTGCAAAATGAGTTGTTCTTCACTCATGCCCTACTTCACTCATTCGCTACTACAGCAATGACCTGTGCTAAGAGGCTATTGTAGGTTTTGCTGGGTGATGGGAAAAAAACCACAGCTTTCTCTTTAAAAAAATAAATGCTAGAAAAGAAAGGTTTGCTAACAGTGTTGGGTCCCTTAGTTGCAAAAGCTGAGTTGGTAAAGAATGGAAAGAATATCTGCCCTTTGGGTTGGATAATCAAAACACAGTGGTACCTCGGGTTATGTACTAATTCGTTCCGGAGGTCCGTTCTTAACCTGAAACCATTCTTAACCTGAAGCACCACTTTAGCTAATGGGGCCTCCCACTGCCTCTGCGCCACCGGTGCCCGATTTGTGTTCTCATCCTGAGGCAAAGTTCTTAGCCCGAGGAACTACTTCCAGGTTAGCGGAGTCTGTAACCCGAAGTGTTTGTAACCCGAGGTGTTTGTAACCCAAGGTACCACTGTATAAGATGTAGTCATGACTACCAACTTGGACAGGTTGAAAACAGTATTTTTCGCTCTATGATACACACTTTTTCCCTCCTAAAAAGTAAGGGGAAATGGTGTGCGTCTTATGGAGCGAATGCAGGCTGCGCAGCTATTGCTGAAGCCAGAACAGCAAGAGGGATTGCTGCGCAGCAATCCCTCTTGCTGTTCTGGCTTCAGGGATAGCCGGGCAAAGCCTCTTCAACAACATTTGATTCAGAATATTTTTTTTCTTGTTTTCCTCCTCTGAAAACTAGGTGCGTCTTATGGTCAGGTGCGTCTTATAGAGCAATAAATATGGTAGACAAATTTATGGAGGCTAGAAATGGCGAAATAAATTGTGTTGATTCCCCCACTTAACAATTAAAATTAATTTTTTTATTTAAAAAGGTTTTCCTTAAAAATATGAAGTTTTATAGAAATGAAATGAATAGTATAATACATAATGCTATAGCCTCCAGTATTACAGGCAGTCGCTGGAGATCATGAATGTGAGAATGCATGCTACAGTGCTCAGGTCATGCTTGCTGGTCTAGATGTGGCTTTGGCTGGATCTCACAGTGATCTCCTTAAGTTTTTAAGACTCACGCGGCAAAGAACTGCTGGACTCTTTACCTGGCGGAATACATGTGTCTGCCTGCTGAGCTAGTCTCTCCACTTCCATCTTCTGTACTGCGCTTTGCTTTGGAAGAAGGTGGCAGACCTGTGGATCTTCTTGGACCTGCTGGAATGGTGGTGGAGCCGCTTGGCTTGTGGTCAGCCTCCGGCCCAGGTCCATAGGATAAGGTGGTCGAACTTCTTGGCAGCCAGCTGCTTCAACGTACTTCACAGGTTCAGGCTCAACAGGTGTATGGAACTCCTTGGCCTTCAGCTGGGCTTCCAGTTTCAGCATCTGCACAAACAATTCACACAAGCTGTGGATCTGGCTGGGAAGATTCATTAGAAACTTCCTGCAAACACAACGCTCAGTGTCCACCATTTCTCTGAAGAAAATAGGCATGCCCTATCTGACTGGGTTGCTCCAGCCATTCTGGGTGGCTTCCAACATAACAAAACATTTAAAAGCTTCCCTATGGTACCTCGGTTTTGGAACTTAATCCATTCCTGAAGTCCGTTCTTAAACCAAATCCGTTCTTAAACCAAGGCATGCTGTCCCTAATGAGGCCTCCCACGGCTGGTGCCCTTCCACTGTTCAGCTTCCGTTCATAGACCGAGGTAAAGTTCGCAAACCGGGACACTACTTCTGTTTTGTGGAGTTCGTAAACCAAATAGTTCGTAAACAGGACTGTTCGTAAACCAAGGTACCACTGGACAGGGCTGCCTTCAGATGTCTTCCAAAGGTTGTGTAGTTACATATCTCCTTAGCCCAGGAGTCACATAACTCCATACCCTCCAACATTTCTCTGATGAAAATAGGGATGTCCTAAGGAGAAGCGGGACATTCTGGGATCAAGTCAGAAAAGACCTTCTCGTGAAAACGGTTGAGAAGAATGTTGCCTACCTGTGAGGCATCCATTGTCGGCACCTGGTAGTGATAGTCATCATAGTGTATGTAGTCTTTAGTGTACAAGGTGTTGTACATATCCTTGTTCACAGGTGGCTGAGCATTGGGGGAGAAGGGGGGGGAGAAAGGGATCATTAAAATTATCATGGTTTCCATCGTCAGGTTGCTCACTAAAGCAGCAGCAGAATGGAGAGAGGTTCTAAGTTCTTCTGTGACGCACAAACTTTCCCCCCTGAACAGTTTGCAAAGAGAGAGAATAGAATTTATTTCTGGGGTCAGTCTGAAAAGGTGTGTGTGTGTGTGTGTGTGTGTGTGTGTGTGTGTGTGACGGGCTGTGGGGCATGACGGCTGCTCCCTACAAGGCCCTTTCCACCTGGCCTAGGGGGCAGGGCCCAGACTCATCAGCCCTACTATGTTAAATACAGTGGTGCCCCGCAAGACGAATGCCTCGCAAGACGGAAAACCTGCTAGACGAAAGGGGTTTCCGTTTTTCGATGCGCTTCGCAGGACGAATTTCCCTATGGGCTTGCTTCGCAAGACGAAAATATCTTGCGAGTCTTGAGATTTTTGCTCCCCCCTTTCTAAGCCGCTAAGCCTTGCTAGCCGCCTAAGCCTTTAATAGCCGCTAAACCGCTAATAGCGCTAATCCGCTAAGCCGCTAATAGGGTTGGTTCGCAAGACGAAAAAACCGCTAGACGAAGACACTCGCGGAACGGATTAATTTCGTCTTGCGAGGCACCACTGTATGTATTCTGTAGTTGACCTCCTTTGTAATGTTTTATTTTGAAATCTTTAAGATAATATTTTCGTTTTCTGTTATGTTGCTTTGACTATCTTCGAATTTCCTCAGATTGTTTTATTTATCTTTTATTGATTTAATATGCTGTAAACCACTCTGAGATTTTCCTTAAAAATATAAAGCGGTATAGAAATTTAAAAAATTTAAATTAAATTAAATTATGCTGCACTTTCAGACAGTCAGTGCAATGTGGATACATCTGGAATAGGCATGGCATCAAAACAATTAATTCACAACCATTCTATTCTGAATATACTCTACTGATTGGAAGTTGCAATTTAGGTATATCCATTTTGCTGCAGATTTTTAATTGCAAAAGCATTTCTTAAGAGCCTGCAGGATCAGGCCAATGGCCCATCTAGTCCAGCGTCCTGTTCTCACAGTGGCCAAGCAGATGCCTGCGTTAAATCCACAAGCAGGATCCGAGCACATGAGCACTCCCTAAAGTAGGTTTTAAAAATTTGGCCTGTTTTAGCATCATAGAATCATAGAGTCAGAAAAACGCCACTACCTTCCCAAGACACCGTCTCTCTGGTGTTCACCCTCTGGCTGTAAACCTTCCTCAGTCCAGAGAGACCGGTGATGTTAAGTTGTGGGCGAACATATCAGACGACACAGCGATTCTTCAAACAGCTCTTCTTTATTCTGAGGCCAGAACTGAACTGAGCTGAAGGGTTCAGCCGGCCTGCTTATATAGAGCTCAAGTACAACGTAACTGTAACAACTTTCTAAAACTATCCAATCACTGAATGTCACTTTCGACCCTGCATTTGCATAACTATCTACAGTATCCCCCTGCTGGCCCAGGGTGAGAACTTCAGTACATAACAGGTGATAAGCGACTGCTCTCTCCTGAGAGGACCACGCTTGTCTTCTGGCATCTCATTGCAGAAGAAAAAGTCAATCAGTAGCTCTAAAACTACTTTATTTACAGTCTATATAGAGAGACTACATCAGCATGTCTTCTCTCTCTCAGCAGCAATACAGAACAACCATCACACACAAAAGTGAAAGTAACTTCTCACAGTACTCCAACAGTAATGAGACTTCCTGTCTCACGCTCTCAGACACTGACATGATATAAACAACCATAATGCTGCTTGCTGAGCAGCTGGTGAGATAAAAATCCTAACAGGGACCCTGAGAATCACACCCTGCAATGCAGCAATATGCGCCTGTCCCACAAGGAGACCTTCAACCTTGGCCCCACAGTCTAAAAACACCAATTTATGTCTTACCTTGGAAAGGGCAATTCTTTGCATTATGTCCGTCATGTTGCACTGGTTCTCTGGAACAAAGAAAAACGGCAATGGAGACATTAAGGGATTTCCACCCCCTGTTGTATGACTTACTACAGTTCAGAATGTGCCTGGTGATGGTTTGCAGAACTTTGCAGGGCTGGTGTTGGAATGTGTGCTTTCTTTAGCCGCTGTTGGATTAGATGAGAGCTCTTGGCAGGGACGTCTTACCCATTGAAGCTAGTGGCGCGGGACGCCAGGGCGCCACGTTCTGGAGGGCGCCAGGGAAGAGTCAGAGGCTGGACATGGCGCCTCCCGGCATCAGCTCACCGCCCTTGCCCGCCTCTGCCATGCCGCGCCAAAGCAGCGCCACGCCCAGAGCCTCCATCTGCTGTGGCCACCGTGGCACAAAGTGGCCAGCTGAGCCGGGAGGCATCACGTCCAGTCTCTGCCTATTCCCAGCCAGAGGAGCCACCCTCCAGCAGCTGCCCGCCTCCTCCAGCCCTGCTGGCAGCTCCGTCCTCCCTAAAAAACTCTGGGAAATGGGGGAGGGGGGTACCGGAGGGAGCTTTGCACCACGGCGCCAGATATGCTTAAGACGGCCCTGGCTCTTGGCCAAGTATAAGCTCTCATTTCTATAGAGCGGTGGGGAAAACTTCCCCCTTGCTGCTGAATTTCCCCTGATTAACAGAGAGAAGCCTGCTAGATGGGAAAACGTAATGGAAGAGGGAAGCCTTGCTCCAAGTTAAAACGCACAGAGAAACAACCGTAGCGTCCCCATTGGGTTCCTGGAAAATTTGCTCCTGAGGGCTGGGGGACCCTTGGGAATGGTGTATAATATGGTGCAGGCGGAAATGGCCCCCGATTGCCACAAGGAAGCAAAAGAGCCATTACCTCTGAGCTGGGGTCTTGACTGCTGCTGTTCTGGCATTGTGGTGGTATTGCTTGACCGGGCTTTGCTAGGCCAAGAGTTTAAGGCTGGACTCTTCCTGAAGAGGCAGAAGAATGTTCACCCTTTATGAGGTATTGGAGCTCTTGGCACGTTCCAGAGCAATCTGATGCCATGGAAACAAAATGGTCCTGCCTCTTTCCTCCTCCATGGTTCCTCAGGCCAGAAGAGACACCACCCAATGACAAAAGTCAAAAATTCTCCTCCTGATAGTATTTGAAGGAATAGGCGAGATTTAGTTTTGAGAGAGTTCGGATTTAAACATGTGTTTGGTATGTTACAAATGGCATGCTACAAAATACAGGTGAAACTCGGAAAATTAGAATATCGTGGAAAAGTTCATTTATTTCAGTAATTCAACTTAAAAGGTAAAACTAATATATGAGATAGACTCATGACATGCAAAGCGAGATATGTCAAGCCTACACCAAATTAACAATCTCAGAAAATTAGAATATTAAATGAAATCAGCAAAACAAGGATTGCAAATAGAGCAATATTGGACCTCTGAGAAGTAGAAGCAGGCATATGTACTCAGTACTTGGTTTGGGCCCCTTTTGCATCAATTACTGCCTCAATGCGGCGCGGCATGGATACTATCAGCCTGTGGCACTGCTGAGGTGTTATGGAAGACCAGGATGCTTCAATAGCAGCCTTCAGCTCTTCTGCATTGCTCGGTCTCATGTCTCTCATCTTTCTCTTGGCTTGGCAATGCCCCATAGATTCTCTATGGGGTTCAGGTCAGGCGAGTTTGCTGGCCAATCAAGCACAGTAATCCCATGGGCATTGAACCAGGTTTTGGTACTTTGGGCAGTGTGGGCAGGTGCCAAAGTCCTGCTGGAAAATGAAGTCAGCATCCCCATCAAGCTCGTCTGCGGAAGGAAGCATGAAGTTCTCCAAAAATCTCCTGGTAGATGGCTGCGATGACCCTGGACTTAATGAAGCACAGTGGACCAACACCAGCTGATGACATGGCTCCCCAAATCAACACAGACTGTGGAAACTTCACACTGGACTTCAAGCATCTGGCATTGTGTGCCTCCCCATTCTTCCTCCAGACTCTGGGTCCTTGGTTTCCAAATGAGATGCAAAAGCTGCTCTCATCAGAAAAGAGATTTGGGGAGCCATGTCATCAGCTGGTGTTGGTCCACTGTGCTTCATTAAGTCCAGGGTCTATGAACTTTTCCACGATATTCTAATTTTCCGAGTTTCACCTGTACTTTTGGCATAGCTGAGGGCAGGGCCGGCCCAAGACGTTTTGGCACCTGAGGCAAACCACAAAATGGCGCCCCACCCTCCACCTGGGAAGAAGGGGTGAGTGAAGATCTCTGAGGACAAAAGGAGACCAGCAGTGCTTCCCATTCCCCAAGAGGTCACTGTAGAGGCAGCACTGGGGATGCCTGCCATGCATTCTTTGGAGGTCAGATCTGCTGCCCCTGTGGATCCTACCACCTGAGGTGATCGCTTCACCTTGCCTCATGGGTGGGCCGGCCCTGGTTGAGGGCTTGCTATGCCTAATAAAAATTTGGGCTTTCCCCCTTGGATATACATATATATATATTTACTGTTTGGAACCCCCAAACAGTTCGAGCTTGTAAAAGAAATAATCCCTTTACAGCTTTATCAGAAGCTCACGTTGGGTGGCATTCAGCTAAGTTTTACTCAGAGTAAACCCATTAAAATTATGAACCAGGTGCATTAATTTCAATGGGTCTCCTCTGAGTAACATTTTTTTCTGACTAATGCCTGGAGTGTATTAACTTTATCCTATACAATATATCCCATACAGTGGTACCTCAGGTTACATACGCTTCAGGTTACATACGCTTCAGGTTACAGACTCCGCTAACCCAGAAATAGTGCTTCAGGTTAAGAACTTTGCTTCAGGATGAGAACAGAAATCATGCTCCGGCGGCACGGCAGCAGCAGGAGGCCCCATTAGCTAAAGTGGTGCTTCAGGTTAAGAACAGTTTCAGGTTAAGAACGGACCTCCGGAACGAATTAAGTACTTAACCCAAGGTACCACTGTACTTTCAATCTTTAATTTGTGGAAACTCCATGGTGTTTACTGGGAAGTAAATTTCACTGGTGCCGGCAGAACTTCCTCCCAAGTGAAAATTTAGCACTGCAGAACTTCGATGAATGACACTTTGCAGTGTTCTTTACTTAATATTACAGTTCCAACAACAAAGTAGTATTTTTCTGAAACCTGGGATCCTGCCGGCTGCCTAGGATTGCCCAAAACAACAGGAGAAAGATCTCAGCTCGCATTAAAGGGATTACAATCTACTTCCTTCCTAATCTGGCTAAGGCCCTTGATGGGAAACCCCCCAGGCCTGGGATTTAAGCGTTCGCTCAATTAATTAGGAACCAACCCCTGCCGTAAACCAAAAACACCCTATAAGGAAGCAGGTTCTCTTCCTCTTGACCCCAAGAGTACTACTTAAATTCCCACGTCAACAAAACGAAATTTTCCTCCTTTCTTTGCAGAATTCCTTGAATACCAGTTGTTAAAATGGAAGATGTGATAGGTGTTAGGGCCTCCAAGTGAAAACTCATCCAGGCAACCACAGCTAGATGTTTGGTAGAGGAGCTGCAGGAAGAAGGCCAAGTAAGGTGCCATCCAACCAGATTTGTGTAGGATTTATTCCTCAGCCTTTTCTTCTGCTGAAGATGTTCCACAAGGCAGCAGAGGTTGGGGATAAGCGTTTTCCTTCTCCTAGATGACTTACCTTCTCAGATTGACAAGTCCCATCTGCCCCTCACTTCCCTCTACAGCACATGCAGAAACCAATACATACAAACATACACATTTCAGATAACATAACAATTTATCAAAAACATATCATCCTCATCCCCCCCTATTTTTCCCTCCCCCCTCCCCAAACCGGAGAGCTCCTCTCTCTGGTTTATCAGCACATGTTAATCTCTCCATTTTATAAAATTGTAAAGATCCTTAATTTATCTATCTATACGTTACCAATGATAAGTTTGTGTATGTTTATTCAAAACCTGCCAAGGAGTCCAATTCAGTTTGTTGTTTCTTCAAGTATATTGTAGAAGGTTCCCATTCTTCTTTAAAGTCACAGTTGTCCTTATCACGCAGTTTGTGTGTCAATTCCGCCAATTCTGCATAGTCCATTAGTTTCTCTTGCCACAGTTCTATGGTCGGGATTTCTTCGTTCTTCCATCCTTGTGCAATTAAGACTCTTGCTGCCATTGTCGCATCCATGAAAATGTTCTTCAATTTCCTTGGCAGGTCTCATTCAAATTGGCTTAAGTTACCCATTTCTGTGTAGAGCTGAACATCAAACAAAGTTGGGGGCATACAGCCCATTAGGTACAACAAATACATAAATGCACAAAAGCTGTTGTTGTTTTGTCATCGTTATTATTTTAATAAGCATGACCCGCCCTTCGTGTTAAGGTCCTAGTGTGGGTTACAACCATCTAAAATACATCAATAAAACAGTTTCCAAAGCTTATAATAGAAGGGAAAACGCAACCACAGAAGTAGGGTTGGTCCACAAAAATGTTCATCGCAGTTGTCATTGGCAAGGGTGAAGAGGTATATCATCATCTGCTAAAAACTGTACAGTGGTACACCTCGGCTTACAGATGCTTCAGGTTACAGACGCTTCAGGTTACAGACTCTACTAACCCAGAAATAGTACCTCGGGTTAAGAACTTTGCTTCAGGATGAGAACAGAAATCGTGTGGCGGCAGCGCAGCAGCAGCGGGAGGCCCCATTAGCTAAAGTGGTACCTCAGGTTAAGAACAGTTTCAGGTTAAGAACGGACCTCCAGAACGAATTAAGTTCTTAACCCGAGGTACCATTGTATAATGAAGATGAACCTCTTTGGAGAGGGACTTCCACAGCTTAGGAACTGCCTTCTCCTGGGCCACTGCCACGCAGAGCTTCTGAGGATGGCAGAATTCGCAAGAGGGTCCCTTTTGCCCATCTTAGCACCTGATAGGGACTGTTGGCAGGAGGCAGTCTTTCAGACTGCTGCCTTCAGACGGCCCATATCTGCTGATGAAGAGCAAAGGCAATAGCTCAATGTTGAATTAGAAGTACCACAAAGCCTGTTTGTTTTTCACCCTTTGCATTTATGGAGTATCAGAACAGTGGAAAGCACAGACAAGTTTGCTGAGCAAACTGGGTAGAATCCTGCCTGCTTATTTCCCCTTATCTCTGTGAGCAAAAGGGCTGGAGGTTGAGTAATAATTATATATTACTCATCTCTCTCAAAATTGTTCCAGGTCCTTCAGTTTTTGACTTATTTCCCCCCCACCCTGTAGATTTGTAAACGTCACACACACATACAAACACCTGGAGGTTGAAATAAAGAAGCCCAAACTGAAAATCTGGGAAAGGACCTGGGATATTTTTTGAAGAGCCTTCGTCTGTTCCCCACCCTGTGGCTACGGCTCAAGTAACTTTGCCCAGGCATCTCTCTTGTCCTTCCATACTTTTTTAAAAACTGCTTTTACTGCTGCTTCAGTTGCTGTAAAAATGAGGACAAATATATTTGCTTTTTGAGACTGAAGACAACTCGAAGACATTAGAGGTGTTAAAAACCCTTTCCACCACCTTTTTGTAAACAAATTTCCATCCAGAGGATATAATGGCTTGTTATCCTAATGGCTTTTTTAAAATGCTGAAAGCTAAAAAAGAGAGCAAGCAATACGCCGATTCTGAGCAATAAGACCATACAACACACGTAATCTGTGGAGTGATCTCTACTTGTGTTAACAGGGCACCTGGGGAGAAGAATCTGAGAAGAGAAAATCTGTTTAAGTGTTGACAGATTATTTGGGCAGTACGAGGTCAAACCCCGATTACGGTTTAATAACAGAAACTCTTAGGGATGCGCTCAATGTGATGGCTTGTGTCCTTTTTTTCCCCCTACTGGCAAATGTATATGTTGTATTTATTTCTTAGTTTCAAGGGGTTAGCATGAGCATTGCTGAGCTGAGCTGATGGATTCTGAGTACGCTTAAGTTTACTTAGTTAAAGCCTTGCTGGCTTGAGG